GGTGTCATCTTCAAACACAGATGACCTTGGTGTACTTCACTAATAAACTTAGACCATCAAGATTATGATTATTATGACTATTATTAGTCTTTAATAGTTGAATAAGGTCTCTAATTCAGTTTTCTATCCATTAACAAAATACATTTCTAAGCCTATAGACCTTAACCTACATGTTAGGTGTCTATGGATAATTATGTAAAATGCTTCAGCAAAGTCTAAGTATTCTTTATCCACAGCCACTCTGTTATCTAACCCTAGCGTTGTGGATAGATAGGAAGAGAGCCAGGAGAGAGCGGAATCTCTGAGGCCAAAAGAGTATAGAGGAGGAGGGGGTGGTTTGACCGTGTCGAAAGCTGTGGAGAGGTCGAGGAGTAGGAGCACTGAGTAGTGGCCATTGGCTTTGGCGGTTAGCAGGTCGTTTGTGAGTTTGAGTAGGGCGGTTTCGGTGGAATGTAGGGGACGGAAGCCAGATTGTAGGGGATCAAGAAGGTTGTTGTCGGTGAGGTGGGAGCTTAGGTGATTATTATTTTTTTTTCCATAAAAGTTTATTGATGAAATACAGAATGATATAAAAGATATGAAAAATGAAGCTTAGATAAGACATTTGGCATTGCATATAATGAAAAAGCAAGAAGTCGAGTACAAAAATATGTGCAGTGGTGATATACTAGGCTACGACAAGAATATGCTTGTAATACTCAGGCGTTATTGTAATGCAATTTGAAAGTTTGCAGCGTCGGACCTCCTGTGTGTATAGTTCACAGTGCAGAGCAGTAGAGGGAGGGAGGATAGATGCAGTGCATATGCTGAAGGCAAAGCAATAATCTTATGACGATAGATGTATCTAAAAGCAAACTTAAATTTGTCTTGAGGGCCGCTAATGAAAAAAGGAGATTATGTTATTAGCATGCCTAATGTTCTCTTGAAGAGTATCCAAAATATATCAGAGCATGTGAGAAAAAGGGAAAGAAGAGATAGAAAAAAAGGGGGGGGGGGGGGAAGGGGGGGGAGAGGAGGGGAAGGGAACGCTGGGAAGGAGAGTAAAGTAAAAAAAGGGGGGGTAAACGATCGAGGTTTGCATCATATCGTCAATACAGAGGGTCATAAGTGGATGAGGTTATGAATTAAACTATCACCAATGTCAAGCAGTTGGGAATAAAACACTGAGGGGGAGTACGTTCCCTTTCGTATGATCAAGTGTAATTGACTATCACCAGCTGGAGGACTAAATGAAATCAGACAGATTGGTCCATGAGGGATTGGTATGTAGGGGTAGTTATGAAGTGAATCTAGCAGGCCCAGATATTGGAGAATTTAGTAGGGGTGTCAAGTGCAGTCGCAATCAGTTCTTCCATTTCCGCACATAAAACATATTTATGCCTAAAACCAATACAGCCCCCAACCGCCTATTCTGGTTTGGGAGCTTAACAGAGCTTCAGCCATTCCAAAAAACTGTAATAAATGTTTCGGCATACGAGGGGCATCCAAGTCAAACTGGGACTTTTAATTATACAGATACAAAAAGAGACGCTAGTATGGCGATACTATATACAGTAGTAAATGGCAAGTGTGTCCTATTACTGATAGACGGCGCACATGTCGTGGGCCTGTCCAGAGGTCGTTAATCAAGATGGCAGAGAACAGTGTTAGTGCGTGCATGGAACAGCGTGTGGGTGATGAAATTTCTTGTGAACAAAGGCGTAAAATTCGTGGATATCTACAGAAGACTTCAATCACCAGTTTGGTGATGAGATGCTCATCCGCAGTAAGACCTTTGAATGGTGTAAAACAATTTCAAAGATGGCTGTACAACCATCAGTGATGATTTAATTCATGGTGGCTGATCCTGGATAATCAACGCATAATCTGTCATGAAATTGCACAAGAGACAAGTCTTTCTGTGGGTGAACACGGTGATGATGAAGTGCTGTGGGTGCTGTTCTTTGTCTCCACAGGTGGGGTCCCAGGGGAGGAAACGAAGGAAAAGGAAGCACCCACAGAAGTTTAAAAGAAATGGTGCATCTTGTGAAATGAGGGCTTTCTAAAAGCAAGAATAATCTCAGGCAGAGGTGTAGCCCCAGTGCTTAAAGTGTAAAACATTCCTTCACTCTCCTGCTGCAAGCAGGAAAAGAATTGAGAAACAAAGATATTCTGGGGAGCTGGAAAAAAGAGTCCACCAGCACTTTCAATTTAGAGGAAGGAAAGTTATTTGTGCTACTCTGGAACTTGAGCAGGAACATCAAGATTTTTTGTTGCATAACCAGCTATATATAGGTTTTCAGAAGAAAAGCTGCTGCACTTTTCCGGTCCACTCCACACATTTAGATACTGTTAAGAAAGAGTGGAAGGAACCCTAGAGGAAAGCATTCATTATGAAAAATCTGAAGAGGCACTTTCCCTTTAAAGAAGTATATGCAGCGCTCTGTGAAACCTGCCCTAAACTTGACGCTCCATTGCCTAATATCTAAAAAAGAACAGATATCTCATTCAAAGATGGAGGCACACTTAAAGATCCCATGGATCGGAAACATTAAGCGTCTTCAAGAGGACCTGGGAGGCAAGGGCAGAAAACTTCAAACCTACCTTTGCCACAAGTTGTGTTTAGCTCACAATTTAGATGTGTGGCGTGTCAGCTTCGATCTCACCTTGAACAAGGTACACCTCCAGGTAAAATCAATAATAAGTCACTGCCAATTCTGAAAAAAAGCAGTGACCTTCATTTCAAGCACCTGCACTGAAGCCATCAGGTTTACACCAAGATCTACGGACACTGCCAGGGTGACCTCACCTCTAAGTACAAATTGTGTGGTCTGCCATTTGAAGGCAACCTTTTTTTTCAGTAAGGAAGATTCATCTGCACTAAGAAAGATCAGCTGACTAGAAGAAAGGATTTCCTGTCCCAAACAAACAAATAGAGAGGTAGTTTTTTTTTTTCATGTAAGTAGCGCCAGGACAAAGAAACAAAACCACAAAGCCAGAAGGACAGTGGTTTTAGGAAGGGCAAGGAGAGAAGTGGCTTCCTCTTCAATCCTAACAAAGACAAAGACAAGTCCCCAGTCCCAGTAACTTGCAGTGTCAGGTGGGAGGAAGTTTGGGGGTTTTTCTCCCACAATGGCAGGAGTGTCGCGAGGAATGCATTTATAGGGACATTCTAGCCATTCTGGCTATAGGATAGAATTTACAGATACCCCCGCAAGGAGGTTTTTTGCCACCTCCCTGCCGAGAGATCGGGAGATCTTGGCTCTCTTAGAGGGAAATGCTTCATCAGAAAGTAATCAGTCTTCTATCAGAAGAAGAGAGAGAGATATTTTTACTATTTTTTGATAAAAAGCCTTCAGGGAAATACCAGATACTAAACTTGAAGAGGGTGGAGTGAGTGTTAGGAATGAGGACTGGCCAGCAATGGTGGGGACTCACCTGCCTTTTGATCTGCAGTACCAGGGCTGGCCAGCGGGGTGCTCCCAGCAATCAGACTCTCAACCTTTCAGCCAGCTAACACCTGGAACTGATGATACTGGTGTATTTAAGGGATGGCCAGACTTGCAGACTCTGCCTTGGTGTTGTGTTTGTCCTTGGGCCCTGTATCTGTCCTGCAATCCTGCATCCTGTTTCTGTTCCTTTGCTGACTTCTCCTGCTCTGATCCTGGCTTGTGACCCTGACCCATCCCTCTGTCTGACCCTCTGTACTACGCTGCTTGCTACCTGTTATGATCCCTGGCTTGTGACCCGGACCATCCTCTGCCTGACCCTCTGTACTACGCTGCTTGCTACCTGCTGAACCTGGCCTGTGACCCCGACCATTCTCCGCTTGCTCCCCCATGTACCTACCTGCCCTATTGATATTGACCCGGCCTGCCGGACGACGCTTGCTTGTATATACTGTTATCTGTGGGTGGTTTGGTTTGGTTTGTTTGCACCGTATTATGTTTTAGTATTGCACTGCGTTTATGTTTGTACTGTTAGTGTTAATAAATTATATTGTTTATCACATATCTGAGGTCTGCGTTTCCCTGCTTCAGTCACACCACCTCTGGTCATACCTGGGAGCCCTGACATTACACCAAGGCCAATCCTGACCAGAAGTGGCTGCACAGGGAAGCCATCTTGGCTTGTTGATGGGAAGGATGGATCTTGAGGAGGTTGAGTATTTATATCTGCTAGTGTTTGATGACAGAGAGTATGCTTATCAAACTCTGAAGGAGTATACCCGGGATGAATTGCTAGAATGTATACGGCTCGCTCATGTTCTAGTAGATCAGGGCACAGTGTTCTCTGAGGTGCAGCCATTGATTGAGGTTTGTGCAGAGTTGGTTTCATCTGGTTCCCCCGAATGCAGGGATGAATTTTTGCCACCATTTAGTGCAGACCAGGTAGAGTCCCTGGTGTGGTTATTAGAGGATGATGTGGGTTATTTTCTGGAGCGTTATTCCACATGTTCACCACAGACACTGAGAGATTGTATAAACGCAGTGCAGTCATTGACCAGACAGGCTTTGTGTAAGCTCAGCTTTGTTCAACCCATACTGCAGACATGGACAGACTTGTTGCACCCAGCCTCAGTCAGCTTACAAAGACCCAGTCCTGCTTCTAACTCTACTCCTGTATTCCCACCAGCTCCTCCCAGTTACAGCCCAGTATACTTGGCTATCTACCGCATGTCAGTACCCTGTTCCCACTCGCTGCACCTATCCTGCCTTTAACCCTGTAAAAGTCCTCTGTAGCAACTGCTCCCTCTCCTGTTCCATCCTCCAGTTCTTCTCTGTCTCCAGCTGCTCCATTCGTTTGCAGACCTGCGTTTACTTGCAGTGCTCCAGTAGTTAAAACCAGAAAAAAGCGAAAATTCTTTCCAACCAATACCATCCTGCCAGTATCCAAACCGGTGAGCCTGCCTTCCGTGGTTCAGCCTGATGCCTGTACGCAGCCTGATGCCTCTACTCGGCCTGAAGCCTCTACTCGGCCTGAAGCCTCTACGCGGCCTGAAGCCTCTCCTCGGCCTGAAGCCTCTACTCGGCCTGATGCCTCTACTCGGCCTGATGCCTGTACTCGGCCTGATGCCTGTACTCGGCCTGATGCCTGTACTCGGCCTGAAGCCTCTTACTCGGCCTGAAGCCTCTACTCGGCCTGATGCCTCTACTCGGCCTGATGCCTCTACTCGGCCTGATGCCTCTACTCGGCCTGAAGCCTCTACTCGGCATGATGAACTGATCCAGCCTGACGATCCTATTAGGCCAGTTGACTCGATGCCCGCTGTTGATCCAGATGATCCGGTACCTGATCCGGTGCCCGCTGTCGTGCCAATTGACTCAGAGCCCGCTGTCGTACCTGGTGACTCGGTGCCCACTGCCTTGCCAGATGACGCGGTGCCCGCTGTCGAGCCAAATGACCTGATGCTTGGTGACCCGATGCCCGCTGTCCAGCCAGACCATCCAATGTCTGACCCAGTGCCTGCGGTCATACCAGTTGACTCGGAGCCCACTGTCGTGCCTGGTGTCTCGGTGCCCGCCGCTCCGCCTGGGGGCCCGAGACCTGTTGCTCCGCTTGGGGGGTCCAGCGCCCGCCGCTCCGCCTGGGGGATCCGGCGCCCGCCTGCCCCGCCTGGGGGCCCGAGACCTGTCGCTCCGCCTGAGGGCCCGAGACCTGTCGCCCCGCCTGGGGGTCCGATGCCTGTCGCCCCTCCTGGGGGCCCGATGCCTGTCGCCCCGCCTGGGGGCTCGGTGCCTGCCGCCCCGCCCGGGGGCCGGTGCCTGCCGCCCCGCCCGGGGGCCCGGTGCCTGCCGCCCCGCCCGGGGGCCGGTGCCTGCCGATCCGCCCGGGGGCCCCGGTGCCTGCTGCTCCGCCTGGTGGCCTGCTGCCTGCTGCTTCGCCTGGTAATCCGATGTGCCTCTGCCCGGAGTCCTGCCCGATGTGCCTCTGCCCGGAGTCCTGCCCGATGTGCCTCTGCCCGGAGTCCTGCCCGATGTGCCTCTGCCCGATGTGCCTCTGCCCGGAGTCCTGCCCGATGTGCCTCTGCCCGGTGTGCCTCTGCTCGATGTGCCGCTGCCCGGAGTCCAGCCCGGTGTGCCGCTGCCCGGAGTCCTGCCCGGTGTGCCAGTCTTTGATATCCCGCCAGTTGCCAGACCCGGGCGGTGGGACATTTTGCCCAGCTAGGACTGTTTGGAGCGTCCTGAGGCCGCTCCTTGAGGGGGGGTACTGTTAGGAATGGACTGGCCAGCAATGGAGGGACTCACCTGCCTTTTGATCTGCAGTACCAGGGCTGGCCAGCGGGTGCTCCCAGCAATCAGAGACTCAACCTTTCAGCCAGCTAACACCTGGAACTGATGATACTGGTGTATTTAAGGGATGGCCAGACTTGCAGACTCTGCCTTGGTGTTGTGTTTGTCCTGGGCCCTGTATCTGTCCTGCATCCTGCATCCTGTTTCTGTTCCTTTGCTGACTTCTCCTGCTCTGATCCTGGCTTGTGACCCTGACCATCCCTCTGTCTGACCCTCTGTACTACGCTGCTTGCTACCTGTTCTGATCCCTGGCTTGTGACCCGGACCATCCCTCTGCCTGACCCTCTGTACTACGCTGCTTGCTACCTGCTGAACCTGGCCTGTGACCCCGACCATTCTCCGCTTGCTCCCCCTGTACCTACCTGCCCTATTGATATTGACCCGGCCTGCCTGACGACGCTTGCTTGTATATACTGTTATCTGTGGGTGGTTTGGTTTGGTTTGTTTGCACCGTATTATGTTTTAGTATTGCACTGCGTTTATGTTTGTACTGTTAGTGTTAATAAATTATATTGTTTATCACATATCTGAGGTCTGCGTTTCCCTGCTTCAGTCACACACCTCTGGTCATACCTGGGAGCCCTGACAGTGAGCGAGCGTGTGAAGTTTAAGAAGTTCTGCATGGAATCAATTTACACTGTAGAAGAACTGTTGACCCAAGGAGTTTTTTATGGTCTCTCTAGACCTGAAAGACACATCTTCATATCCCGATAAGGGAGTCTTCGAAGAAATTCCTGAGATTTGCTCTGGAGGGGCTGGGGAAAATATTGTATTTTCAGTTCAGTGCCTTTCCTTTCAGGCTTTCTTTGCCCCCTCAGATTTTTACAAAAGTGTTGGCAGAGGCCCTTCAGGTCCTGTGGTTGAAAGGGATAAATTCCACCCCATATCTGGATGACCTTCTGCTTTTCACAAGTTCCAGAAAGACCTTGGAACAAAACATAACGGTTACAATATCTTTCTTGAAGGAGCTAGGCTGGCTGATAAATTTGGAAAAGTCGCAGCTGACTCCTACCAACAATCTGGGATACACAATAGACTCCAAAAAAGCTTGCCTATATTGAACCCCGGAGAAAGTATGCAGTCTCCAACAAGAAACAGTAAGCCCCATGGTAGCTATAGAATGTACAATAAGGGATGTCATGAAGCTCATGGGTAACATGACAGTAGTAATACCAGGAGTCCATTGGGAACAATTACATTCCAGAAACATCCAGAATCATGTGCTCACCTATTGGGATGGTCGTCAGACCTCACTGGACTCGAGGATCCCCATTACTCAGGAAGTAAAAGAATCTCTCGGTGGACCAATAAACAAGTACTATAGCAGGGGAGCAAGTGGAAACAGATGGACATAATCAAAATTACCACAGATACCTGTGTCTGGGGTTGGGGATCTCAAGGTGATGACAAAGAGCTCCCCAAACCTGTGAGCAAGCAGCAGTCGCAAAAGTCTTTTTGGTGTTTCATCAGAGGATAAAAGGAGAGAGGTAAAAGTGATAGCAGACAATATCACTACTACTTAAACAAGCAAGGAGGTACCAAATTAGCAAAAATGATGAAAGTAATAAGCAAACTGCTGGGCTGGGCAAAAGCAGACCTCGTCACCCTCACAGCAGTACATTTGAAAGGTCAATTAAATCAACTGGCTGACAGCCTGAGCAGAAGGGATATCATACAGTTGGAATGGAGTTTAAATCAGATGACTTTTACACAGATCTGTGGAAGATGGAAATTCCGGACATAGATTTATTTGCCACCAGGAAAAATACAAAGATGAGGAAATATTTTTGTTTGCAAAAAGACCCCTAAAATACAGGCATCCATGCCCTGGCCCAGCCATGGGAAGGAGAACTCATTTATGCTTTCCTGCTGATATTTCCCGCCAAGAAATTCTACGGGTGCTTTGAAAGCTGCACACAACACAAGCCAAGATCATTTTGATTTCACCATTTTGGCCAAAGAGGGCATAGTTCCCTGCCCTATTGTCAGGGCAGGGCTGTGGAACGGACAGGTAGGCCTAGTGGCAGGGCAATGCACTGGCTGATGACAACCACCACCAACAGACCGAAGTCCCTCAGGGCGCGGAGTCAAAGTCCCAGGCTGCCCTTCACCAGGGCCCCTGATGGTGGGGATGGACTTGACGCAGCCAGGAACCAGGTCGCGGCCCCCGAGACACCCCGGCTGCGGTAATGGCCACCGCCAATGCCGTGTAGCTGGTGAGAATGACAATAGCCGGGTCATTCCCCAGTTTTAGGATTTTTAATAACTAATTGTTACAATCTATTATTATTATTATTAAAAATTTAGAAAGGCTGGCATCTGTAGTCCGTAGGTGGAGGATCACAGTTGTATAGCTGTATAGGGGGAAGAATGAATGGATGGCCGGTCCGTTGCTTCGTATCCTTCCTGTAGTGTTATGGTCACCGCAATAATGGCGAATGTAGGAGGACTCCGAGAAAATGGCCGCTCGGGTCCGCCCTCAATGCTGATTGGAGTTGGGGGAGAAGTATCTATAGAATCCGGCCCTCAGTGATGGTTAACCCTGAGGAAGTCACGTGTTACCGTGACGCAACGCGTCGGTACGCGAGGAGGATTCTGGGAGTGTGGTGACGTCATTTCCGGCGTGGCGGCCATATTTGAGATCCCTCTATTAAAATACCCATGCAGGAGATTCATAGCATGGGGTATTGAAGGCTCATGAGGAGATGAACATAAATGTGAGTGGGCAATTTTATTTTACATTTACTATGAGAATTAAAACAGGATTACACTATGTGAGTCTCTTTTGTGTCTGTATATGAATCGTGGAGGAGACTGCTGATAGAGTATAAGAGGCGGGTGAGGTCCTGGTGAGCTACTAAAAAGTGGTGTCCTGGTTTAAGCGAGCTGACCCTGAGGGGTCGTGACAAGGAGGTGAGGGGCCATCACGGCTAAAGTGTGGATTTACACAGTGTGGACACGTAACACATGCATGAAGATTGAAAAGTTTTGTTGCATTTGGACACTTTTTTACTTTAAAAACAACTGATTTGGATTTATTATTATGTATAACCAATGATTGTAGTGATTTGGTTGTCACTAATTGCACTTTATTTATATTTTTTAATACACGGGTTGCACAGCATTCTGTTAATGCACAATTTTTGCACATAGGAACATATAATATGTCCCCAATGCTGCAGCCGCTGCCCTATCCCTCACATACATGACAGAAGTACAGGGAGACATTCTCTGTACTAGCTGTCATTTATTAAATACAGCGCGGCATTGTGGGGCTCTGCCCACACAGCCGCGTCATTAATTCACAGTGTTCTGTGAAGGAATTAATGAACTACAAGTCCTGACACCCTTAGCTGCTCTCATCTTGTAATTCTTTTTTTTTTTTTTTTAAAGAATATTTAATGAGTTTTAACAAGGAAGACAAGTCAAAAAGGTGAGGCAGTTAGGACATAAATGTTACATCAAATCTAATCAGATAAGTTGTAATACAGCAGATAAGACTAGAGATGAGCGAAGTATTCAAAAATTAGATTCGGCTGATTCGGAATTCGAGGAATAAATTTGATTCGATGCGAATATATTCGCTGCGAATTTAACTTATAAAAAGGGTGTTTCTAGGCTTCAGAGAGCCTTTATATTAGTGCAGAACACTGTACCTTTAATTTAAATGCCCTTGGAGTCTGCTGGGGAAGAGAAATAATACTGTCAGTCAGTATGACATGCAGATGAGTGCCGTCAATCTTAGAATCACCGCACACTTCACTCATTTTGGGCAGTCACGGGGCCAAAACCAGAGTGTGGAGCCACAGTGTGGCGGTGGAGGCAGCAGCAATGGGAGGCCATACAGCACCCTATGACAAAATGGAACCCACCAGCAGTGTGAGGGGACCTGAAAGTGGCACATGGCAGAGTGTGGCGATGGAGACAGCAGCAATGGGAGGCTGTACAGGGACCCATGAGACACTCTGGACCTGGCAGCAGCATGACGAGGCAGTACGGGGGCCCATGGCAGATTACGGGCCTGGCAGCAGCAATGGGAGGCCCGTAATCTGCCAGCACCCTATGACAAAATGGAACCCACCAGCAGTGTGAGGAGACCTGAAAGTGGCACATGGCAGAGTGTGGCGATGGAGACAGCAGCAATGGGAGGCCGTACAGGGACCCATGAGACACTCTGGACCTGGCAGCAGCATGAGGAGGCGGTACGGGGGCCCATGGCAGATTACGGGCCTGGCAGCAGCAATGGGAGGCCCGTAATCTGCCAGCACCCTATGACAAAATGGAACCCACCAGCAGTGTGAGGAGACCTGAAAGTGGCACATGGCAGAGTGTGGCGATGGAGACAGCAGCAATGGGAGGCCGTACAGGGACCCATGAGACACTCTGGACCTGGCAGCAGCATGAGGAGGCGGTACGGGGGCCCATGGCAGATTACGGGCCTGGCAGCAGCAATGGAAGGCCCGTAATCTGCCAGCACCCTATGACAAAATGGAACCCACCAGCAGTGTGAGGAGACCTGAAAGTGGCACATGGCAGAGTGTGGCGATGGAGACAGC